CCTCTTTTTTTCTTAAAAGACAGTTTCGCCCCACCGTAAGCCTTCTTCAGCGCGGGTTCTGTGTGATGTAGGCAGATAGAAGAACAAAGAAGACAGGCAACGATCCATCATAAATCACAGTCTATACCTGTGGGCTATAATAACTTATCTTGCTGTTGGGAGCTTCGCGTTATGCCTTGCGCACACTGTCGGTTGGATTCATCGGTTTGTGTCGCTATCTCAGAATATCAAAGTTCTGTCTCATATATTTGGCCGTTTTGAGTTACATCAGTTTGTTGCTACTGTATAATTACAAAGTTCTGTTTGACAATTTTGGCCGTTTGATTTACTGAGACTAAGGGACCAGAAATCAAATGTTTTATCTGCTTTTTATAAAAAATAGTAAGATTATTATTCGGAGTCGTTATCAAGATATTCAAAAATTGCACTCGAAAAAGCTTGGCATAATGTGAAACTCAAACTTTTTGACGTCAAATGTATCAAAACTAGGTACTGAACATATAGAACATTGCAATTCTAGGGTAGCGTTGTGTCGGGGCCAGCACCCATACTTCCCCCCTTGATAGATGGGCCAAAAGCTTTCATTTTGGCACCATATGCGACCGAATTCAACAAAATTTGACAACGGTGTCTAAATATTAAACGCTTTTGTTTTTCAGGGTAGTGGGTCGACTCGGTTTTATTGTGTCAAAAGGTAGCGGTAGCTTTTGGTTGGTCCATACACGCACATGCTTGAACACAGGCACCCATCTGGACAGACAAACACACACACACACACACACTCACACACACACACACACACACACACCCAAACACACACACACACAAACACAAACACACACACAAACACACACACACAACAACAAAAAACACATAAAAATACACACAAACACGTTCAAGGATTCTTTCAAACGTTTAGAACTGCTTCTGCTATCATCATAATATCATTCCGTTTCTGAAAAAAAAGTGAATTCAAACCTATGAATCTGACTGACGGTGTGCACCGCGTATAACTGACACTGACTGGCTGGACGTCCTAACACTGCCCCTGTCACAAGTACAGTACATTAAAAATGTGTATATATACGTGCACTCGTACAGGTGATGGCTTTGTACTAGCACCCGTGCACATTTCGTGGTTGATGTACAATGTACTAGTAGGCCCTACTTAGTTGTACGTTGTATAGATTTGTTGGGAGGCTAACGTTTGTAGGCGTACCTGTTTGATGATGGGTGGCTGGGCTGTTTTGTAATCCAGGTGCGTGATGTATGCCCCTTAGTTGTCGTCGTTGTTGTAGGGGTTGTTGTCGTCGTCGTCGTCGTCGTCGTCGTTATCGTTGTGGTCGACGTTGTTGTTGTTGTTTTTGTTGCTGTTGCCGCTGTTGTAGATGTTGTTGTTGTTTTTGTCGTAATTGCTGTCGGTGTTGTCGTCGTTGCTTTTTTCTTCTTTCTTGCAGCTGAGTTGAAGTTGTGTTTTTCTCTCGTCGATCTTACGTATAAAGTTGTGAAAGACGATGTCACAGCAAAGGTTTTTATTCCAAGAACAAACGGGATATTTGTTTGCTTTTTTTTTTTGGAGGGTCTTAATCAAAGAAAGTTCTTCAGGTAGCACTGAAATAGAATCATCAATAACCAATCGAAGAATAACGATAATAATAGTCCGCGTGCTCTGTGGTAACCGGACGATGAATGAATGATGCGAAGATCACAACAAAAACATCAGCACCACACTGACACCACTACTCCACTCACGTATGACAGCGAATCACACACACGCACACACACATGGTGGTATACAAACACCCGTACACACAGTGACAGTCAGTCAGTCAGTGGATGGGGGGAACGAGCGAGCCCCCATGAATGAGCGAGCGAGCGAGGGAGCGCGCGAGTTGTTCGGTCACCACGGGCCGCCTGCCTGCCTTTCCTCGCCTCCTATCTGTCTCTCTCGTTTCTTCACTTCACACAACACCACCGCCAGATTCTACAGCCTGACACCGCCGACGAGGTAGTCAATGGGAGGAGGATCAAGTCAGAGGACTCAGCAGAGCAACGAACGCAACTCGGCAGAGAAGAAGGCGGCGCCCGACAGAGGGACAACTTGTCGTACTGCTACTGGGGCAGAGGGCTGGGTATTATCCGAATCTAGAATCCGGGTGATCGTGTCGTAAATCTATTTTTAGTTTTGTTCGGCGGAAAAAGAATGCGGCTGGCTGGAATCAGAAGGCCTACTTACGAAACTTTTTGTTTTTGATTTTCTCTTTTTTTGTGTTGTTGTAGTTGCGGGTTTTTTTAAAATTTGAAACTGTTTCGCTGAATGGATTCCTGTGTTAGTTTGTCTGCGTTTATTTTTATGCGTGTATTTATGTCTGTCTATATATATACAATTTTCGTTTGCGCATTTGTCAGTATGTGCATGTACTTTTGAATCAGTTTTTGTTTTATTTGAAAGTCTGCACGTGCGCTCGTGCGAGTATCCCTGTGGATTTTTGTTTGGGTGTGTATGTGCATGAGTGTGTGTGTGTGAGTGTGTTTGTGAGTATGTGTGTATGTGTGCGTGTGTGTACATGCATGTGTGTGTATCTGTGCACGCGAGCACACGCGCGTAGTGTGCGTGTGTGCTTGTGTGTGTGTGTGTGTGTGTGTGTGTGTGT